AGAGAGAGAGAGAGAGATATGAAACGTGCAATGAAACTTCGGAAGTAAAGGGAGCTTAAGCGTACTTCTATATATGTATGTATAATATCTATAGAATATTTGCTTGCCTTTGAAATTGACATAGTTCAATCGCGATCAATTTGCCATAAAATCGACTAGTTACAAAGAGTCGACGAGTCATCGATTGTAGAGGAAATGGTAGGAGGATGAAAAAGTTTACCTCGAGGGAAAATTGGCATCATGTCGGTAAAGGAAGTTCGGGAAATTGAAGGGTCGGAAAAATTTGAAACATCATGGAAATTTAATTCAAGAGATGATTTTTTGTTCTGATAAAAAGATGAAATTAGCCCTCAAAAAAAAAAAAAAATTCTTGTGAATAGTTATAAATTGTATAAGATATGGGAAAAATGTTCAAAATATGTGACATATTTTTTCATTTTGAAAAATCGATAGCCATTTTTCTATCAAATATTTGATATAGTTATACTTGAATTTATTTCTGATTTTAGAAGATAAAAATTGATATCAATGACTGCAATTTTATATTATTATTGCATGAAGATTTATATTATATTCGACGTACTTTTTAAATTTAAAAACATTTAAAATACATTTAAAATATGTTCTTAATCTTACTAATTGTTTTAAAAAATTATGTTTGAAATTTATTTTATGCAATCCTCCTTTAAATAAAAAAAAAATCAATGTATTGCTTTTAGATCTCATTTTCGTAGATCCATGTCATGAATAATATATCTTCTGTCCAAAAATTATATGAAATATTAGTATATATTTCACTATAAGATAAATTATATTTATTTTTAAGACTTTTCTTATAAAATGAATTACAATATTTTATTTTACATTGTCGATTTGAAATGTTATTTTTATTATTCTATTAATGTTTGTTAAATTTGTTTTCTTTAGTTTTAACAGTTCGAATGTTCGTAAAATGTTAATTAATTAAAAATATTTTTGCGCTTTAGAAAGCGTACTTGAAAAGTGGAGAATACTAGAAGAACAATTGACGAAGTGATTGAAAAGCATTGCTTTTATATAAAAATTGACATCAACAATTATTATTGACCCGCTTTTTATCCGATAGATAATGTTACAATTTCCAAATATCGAAATATGTAGAAAAATGTCGATATATTGTATCACGCACAATTTACTTCACGAGTCTATGCTGTCGAGTTATTTATGTATCATATTTTAACAAAAGATAAATTACTTTTTACAGCAGATTTTTATCTGCATGATTAACAATATGATAAACAAACTACACGATATAACAGAAAGCTCGACAGGATAATTAGAGATTACAATACGTGTAAATTTTGAGAAAAGAAATACTTTTAAAAAATTCTTTATTACTTTATTACTTGAATTTAAATATTCACAAGAAAATGAAATATATCATATTTATTTTGAGGGATGATTTCATACCCTATAAATTATACTTTTACCGAATAAAAAGTCATGAATACCTGAAAAGTTTCAAATTTTTCTGAATTCGTTGAAACATTAAAATTCTTACAAATTAATAATTCATTATGTTTATTGTTTACAATTACCGGATACGTGCGACATCGTTTCTTTACTTTCCTTTGTTCATATACGTCATCCGTTTAATGAATTTTTAACGCGATTAATTATATTGCAGCCAGTTAAGATTATCATTGACGTGTCCGTGTTATCAAATGTCCAAACGTCTTCATACAATGGGTAACATATACATATATATGCACATCATAGATTACCGTATGATGCTTCTTCCATTTAGGAATGAAAACATAATTATACTCAGGAATTTATACAGTATTGCTGCATCATGTTCGTAAATATATATTAATCGGTAATTATGTCAATTATGCCCTGTTTGTATTTCTGGTTTAAATATTTAATAAGAACTATATCGATCATCTTTGTCGTACTCTAAGGACTATAAAGCATCGTGCCATGATAATGCATCATCTAGGAAAGTAAAGTTAATAATAGCAATAATTTATAATTTCATGTATAAATAATATATATATATATATATATATTATATTTACGTGAGAAGATATTATTATTCTGAATGAAGAATTAAATGAATCAGTAGATATGATTTATAATACTGATGATAAATTAGCGAATATTAGTCTTAATTATAATTATTATTATTATTTTGAGAGCGAGTATGTCTATATTAAATATCCATGATTCTAAACGAGTACTTCACCGATGAATTTAGTTAACTATGTACAAAGCGTATAGAATAATTATGAGAATTGTATAAGAATACACACAATGGTACACGTCACGGTGCTGTTCCAAAGGATTATGGAGAATGATTGTGTCAAGAATGATACTCGTAACGATGGAAATATTTTGTTAAGCTATTTGCAATAGCTCTTGTAAAAACTGAACCATTTCAAGTATTATTAATTTGTTGTCATAGAGTATTAACTGAAATATAATGTAAATATCTACGAATACGGTGATATCTGCGTGATACGAATAACTCACAAGCTTGTACATAGAACGTCGATATCGCGTAAGATATTTCCATCGCGTTGCGAGTTGCAGAATTATATCGATCCACTTCATAAATAATCATATTTGTTAAAGTCGAGATAAGAATATTCATGTATAATAAGATATATGAATACCAGACATTAATGTAATATAAGATATGTATACATAATTCTGAATATACACAAACATTTATGAAATCTTGCTTGTTGTTAATATTACCTTCATCTGCCGGAGTTCAAAGTTTTTGCTATACTTAGAAACAATACCTTGAGAAATTCTATTTATACATTTAAACGTAATGCTGCATCTAACGTAACTTGTTCTTAACCAATTAATTTTTTATTTAAATTAAACAAATCTTATATTGAAATTTGATTCTTTCAATGTAAGCTGTTGATATATTTATGGAACGTTTTTTGGGAAAGTCTACGCAATTTTTGTAATTACTTTGATCTCTGGAATCGATCTTCCAAAAATATCTGAACAATTTATGTTGGAAATAGGATTTACTTAAGGGACTCTATTTAAAAAAGAAAGTTGGTACGACTGTCGGATGACTCTTTGTACCAAAAAAAAATTTTTATTCGAAAAATTTTTCTCTTATTCTTATAATTTTGAAGATAATTCAAATGTTTATTTATTTATTTATTCTTCCTGTGTAATTATACTTTTTTGCATAAAAATTGAGAAAAAAAAATTGAGAAAAAAAAATATTAAAAAAAAAAAAAAAGAAGATACCAGGACATTAAAAACATTGACGTTTCTGAATATTCCGCATCTGTATTCTCCTGGATTAAATGAAAGTACACCGCTATTATCTACTTTCATTTGGATAAAATGGAAGGCAAAGTTGCCTTTTGTGATGCATAAAAGAGTTAGATGCGACGCGAAATCCGGCGCTTGATATTAAAGTATTAATGCCGCGTAACACCGTTTCCATCCCCGTCCAAGGGATATTTTAATATAAACGGGGGATTTAGATATTTCACTTTGACAAATTTTCGACCTCCAACAACTGCTCAAAGGAAATTGAAGCTGGCCAACGACTGCAATAGGGCCGTGTACACGCGATGCGGCTGGTTATTTTATGTTTACAGATGACTCGACATCCCATAATAAATATCGTTGCCCGGTCCACAAATCTTCGGTGCATCGCATTTGTCCCCGTTTCTTTTTTCTTATTCATGAAACCGCGCCGGACGTCCTCTCCTTTTACGTATCTTGGCGCCGTTGGCCACCGTCCCGCCTTAACATTATGAAAATCTCAATAACATCGAGAGAAATATAGCTCCACCTCATCCCTTTGTAGGGATATAGAACGAAACGTTTTTCTCTAAATGTATTCAGAATCAGAATTTCTGACGAATTCGATTGGCAGAGGAACAGGGTGAATCTTAATCGGGCAAATGATAATGATATCCGTTCCATTCACCGATGACACTCAAAGAGATATTTCATATAAAAAACTTTCATTTTTTTAAACACGTTCGAACGAAATCTCGTGATTCGACGCGTTATCACAATGTTTCCTTTATTACCATAAACAACGAGAAATAACGAGAAATAACGAGAACGGAAGCAACGGGAGAAACACGTTAATATTCCAATAATATTCGTAATGGATATTCAACATCGGTATTGTTTCGTTCTAACGAGGACGATAAAAATTTCCTCCCAGTTGCCTCGCAATTGTTGCGGATATATCTCTCGATGGAAGAGCCACTCCGAAACGGGGGAATTTAATTAATATAATGCACGCGGATCCGCGGCCGGGTGGTAGTTTCCTTTCATCCACATCTCTCGATCGGTCGAACCGAGATGAATGCACCACTGTTCACCCCCTGCAAGTCTATAAATCCGGTGGTACGCGGATTCGTGCATCGGATGCATCTTCGACGAGCGCGTATCGTGTTTGCGCACCTATGTACGTACCACCTTCATCCGGGATTAACTACATGTCCGAGGGGTGGTTGGGGGTGTTGGAGAGGGGAGGATATGCTTTCGATCCGGCTACGGTTTCCCGTACAAGCGCGTTTATCGACGACCACGCGAGGAAAGGAGAGAAGTGGAGGAGAAGAAAAAAAAAAAAAAAAAGAAAAAAGAGAAAAGAGAATCCCAGACGTGAATAATCCTGGAAAAGGAAAAGGCGCATCGATACACGTTTCTTTGTTCGAGGAGTAGATACGTTTCCAAGCGGTATCCTCTGGTCCCCGTGGTTGCAATCCTCGTTTGAGTTAGTATTCTCTATGCTTGAGTGAGATATTGTTATCGATGCTGTTCCTGGAAAAGGATAATGAAGATACGCGAGTCGTTGGTCGGAGGGAAACGAAAGTCGTCTTTTTCTTTTTCTTTGCTTTCCTTTGAATTTTGACATTTTTAGCGTTTCTCTTCGGATTCGTGGAACAAAAAGTGAATCGTGTTGAAATAATGTATTTGAAATAATTTTTCAATTGAATAATTCGGTTAAAAGAAAGCGGTAAAAAGAAAGATAAAGTAATGATCTTGAAATAATCTTGAATAATCTTTATTCAATTCTATCCTTGTATCTTTATTACGCCTAATAATTTTTCGACGTGTTCAATCCTCGAATAGCCGACCAAGTATTCTTTCTATCGCGTCTGGTTTCGTTTTTAAAATATGTATTCTCATCGTATGTATTTTTCGAAAGTATTGTAGAAGAACTTTAGATGGAGAATTTCAGATGAAAACGTAGCGGGTTATAGGATTTTCAAAATTTTTAATCTCCGTGCTGCTAAAACGGAAGGTTGAAACTACAACGACGGTCAATTTTTTTTTTTTTTTTTTTTTACAGAAAAGCGTTCCCTCCGACCGAGGTATCGATTAAACGGTTGATAGCAATTTCCTGCAGACGGCGGGCCGATTCGTTAACACGAAAATATGATACGGATTTTATTAGCGCGTGAAATGGAAGCGATTTTGTTTCTCGCGCGGTGGCACACTTTTTTCACCGGTGCTCGCGCGATTAACGCCGTGGCTCGCGTATCGTTTCGCGTTGTTACACGGCACGGAACAGCTGGCCGAAGAGTTCAATTTTTGTCGTGGCGGAACGGGCGACGATTTAATGAAAACACAGGCGGTCGTATTTCCATGGGGGGAAAAAACCTTCGACCAAGAACAATTTCACCGTCACCTGGTGAACGTGTATACCCATCGCGACCGAACGAATGGGATAAGAAACGAGCCGACAACCGGAAGATAGATTTCGAGATAAAAAATCGCAAGCTATCCGCGACGCTAATGATTTGTTCTGCGAATTACATGAATTCCAGGCTTGAAAAAATTACAGGATGAAACGAAGAGAATAAACCTTTCTATATAGCTGTCTTTGTACGATATAATGAAAGTGTAAAAATATCCAAGAAATTTAATAATACATTTTTTATCGGAAGACACGAGAGGATTAAATTTAAAATCACGCGAATATTCGGTTAAAAAAAAAAGGAAAAAAAAAATAATTAAAAAAATTTTAATCCTACGCGATACGTGTATATTAAAAACAAGAAATTAATCCAACGTTACAATCTCTTTTCTATTTTAATTACTTTGCCTCTCCAATTTTTTCCACAGCGCGCCACGAAATTCCATTTATTTCTCCATTTTTGGAAAATATGACGTAAATATAAACGTAAGCAAACCGTGACAATATGCGCACGCCATGTCAACCCGTGACAGTCACAACGTTGGTCGCGCAAGGGATTAAATCTCGCGCGCAAGCGGGAATCATCGTGGCATACCTCGCGATTTATCTGCCTCGTTAAACCAACAACTCGAGCCAACAACGAAGGTGGAGAGAAAATCAGGCGGAAAACGATACGCGCAATTATCCTCTCGTTTCTCGATAATTACATGGAAAGGTCATATCTTTGTGGGGGGAAAAAAGAAAAAAGAAAAAAAAAAAAGAAAAAATATAAAAGCGAGAAGAAAACATCGTCGATATCCAGACTAGTCCAACTATAATAAAGCCGGCTCTCGAAAACATTTTTGATTTATCGCGACAGGTTGCACGTTCAACGCTCGTGTTTATCAGGGCTGGCCGCTTATCAATCACGTTACACGGGAATGATCCAAGCGACGTCATCGTTCGAGAGAAGGAGGAAACTTGCTCCATCCTCTGTGACCGCGTTAAGGGAATCAGAGGGTATCTACTATGGCGGAGTAAATCAACCGGTATCCAGAATTGACGCGGAGCATCGAGGGAGGCAGCTGACGGTGACGCTGCGGAACGAAATGATTGGCGTATCGGCTCGCCCGTGGGACCGATTCCGCCGGCTAGGGCCAAATGGATCGTCGATTTTTCCCTGACTACCTCTGGGAACTGGACGGCTGCAAGGGAAGTCGTAGAAACGGATAGGAACAGCGGTGGCAGAGATTCCAAGCGATCTCTCTTTCTCTCTCTCTCTCTCTCTCTCTATCCTCGTTCGCTTGAAAATCAGATTACGATACGTCGGTCGTCGTTAAATAGAAAGAGATCATACCATTCCATTATGGAACGAGCGATTAACTGGTTGAATTCTTAGTCACGAACCAGTAAACTTCATCGAGATGCGTAATATTTTTTTTTTTAAATCTAATCTTGTTTCTTCCGTTGAAATGATTTTCACATACACGGGTTTTATTATTAGACGCTTCTAGGAAGCTGGGCGAGAGAATAAATTGTTAAATAGATTTCGCAGCAGAAATTTATCTGGATTTTATGTGGATAAACAAATTTATTTAATTAGGTTGCCAGTAAATAGATCGCGAATGTTGAAAAATTTTTATGAATACGATTGAAAAACGGAAGCCGACATTTCCTTTATTCTTCGAATATAATGCGTATTATAGTTTGGATATTTTATATCACGCGTATTCCATAGATTTTTGTATATTTTAATTTTAACATAGATAAAAAGAAAATTAGTGCATCATATGAGTTAAATTCGACTTTAATTTAATCCTCGTATATTTCTTTCTCGTATTCTAAGAAATAAAAAAGAAACATATTTATTTAATTATTACGAATAACAAGTCAAATTGCATTAATAATTTAATAATTTAATAGAAATCCTCTTTTTTTTTTCATTTAAAAAAAAAAATTTATATTCATACATATTATAGAAATTCCACTATAATTAACACTGATTGTAAGAATGTTTTTAAGAATGCGAGAAAAAAATTATCGAATCAATTTAAAACCAATCACGATAAAATATAAAAACAACAATTAAGTTATTTTTACATTTTCCTGTTAATAATTTTCTTCTGTTTATCGAGAAGACCAAGGTCATACATAACTACAAGTCACTGTGGACTATCGACAAATAAATTACCCAAAGCTAGGATTTTGCCTGTCCTAGATTTCCATTAGGAGTAAGTCCAGAGAGAGGTTAAAACGTTTGGTATTAGCTCGGCTGTCTAGCTTGCTACGGTTCGCCATTCGTCTCGGTTGGAAGATGGCTGAAAATAGTTAATTTCGAGGTTCGTAAGTTCTGAAGGACTCTGAAGGTGTTTGACGGGTGTCATCGTTGCCGAACGAGATTTGCAGTTTACATTCCGACTATTTTCTCGACTCTTCTGTTTCATGATCGGCGATTTCGTTTCTCGATTCTTTAAATTTATCTTTATTTCCGTAGAAATTCGTGTAACTGTTTCGTCGCGAATTTTTCTTGCATTTTTCTTCGCGCGAAAAATCGGAAAGATAATAAGATTATTATTATACGATGCAAATACAAGTATTTCTTTCATTTTAATTTCAATCATTCTATCCCTTCAATTATCATCATTAAACTTCAAAATTCACGATCAATATTATACCCGTTAAACTATATTTCCAAATTTCCAAACCCACATTTATTTAATTTTCGAGGAACCTATTAATAAATTCCCAATATCGGTCCAAAGACCGACCAAACAGTTGTTAGGCTAAAAGCGGTAAACCTGATTCCTGAAATGCGCGGGAGTGTACTTGCTCACTATCAGAATCTATCTTTATTCGAGTGGATCCCAGCGGGCTGCCAGCCGGATGTTCCACCGCTGTTCCTGCAAGTTAAATGAATTAGTTCTAACTCTGTTCTATTGTAATTAGCGTGGACATGGAACGATAGTATCTTCTTACCGTGTCGGTGGATCGATGAAATTGGATCGATTTCATCGAATGGTTGAAAAAATTGGATCGAACACGAGAAGGATCCGGCCGTATGAAAATTAATAGGGATCCACGCACAGAGGCGACAATTCGTGATTTTCGAAACGAGCGTTTTCAACGCGCGGAAATAGAAGCGGCAAAGGGAACCCATTCATCCGATGGAGCATAGTATGAATGGACAAAATGAAATGGTCGCGCGAGTACCGGCGTATTTTCATCCAGCGTTCGTCCAAGCTTGTAATTAACAACACGTCGGTTCATTACGGGGTTACATAATGTCGATCTATCTTATTACCCCGCTGCGGCGAAAATTTTCCACGATACCCGCCCTATGTATATCTATAATTTACCAAACGAACCGGCACGCGACCCTCTATTAATATCGGAACACGGCCATTTCCGCTTGATTCACGATGGAGGGATGTATCCTTTTGTGGAACGAACGATTGACACGGCTTTTCGATTTTATAATCTCTTTGTTCGTTCCCGAATCATTATTTATGTTCGTGTGATAAAATAGGAGGGGAAAATATGAACGTCGTATATTTCTCTTCTATCCTCTTTCAACAAAACGTTCATTGTAAGTGCTTCCAAGTTTATACGAGATTACAGTGGGTAAGTAATGCGGTTTTAAAACTTCTGTTGCGTGAACGAACATTTGTTACAAGCTTTTAGAAATTAAATCGTTAATTAAACACAGGAGGAACGGAAATTGAATGACGTGACTGATATTGCGAAATACACGTTAGATTGTTTTAAACCAACACGAAGAAATTATTGGAATTGGAAAGGGAATTTAAAGTTGAAGTCTATACTTATAACGCTTTCCTCTTCCTCTCCGCGTAATCTGCGCAAATTTGCAAGGAGTAAAATTTTTAAATTTCACGCCAAACTTTCACGCGTCATCCATTCCTCCCCTCGAATGCGTCCCATACACGCGAGGCGTCGATAAAAAGGGAGTTTCGCGGCTCTTAGTAACAAGAAGTTCCGGTGTCTCGTTTGTCAGGCTTAACACCCAGGATTGGTACAAATATGATAAGCCCGGTAATACGGGCTAACGCGTTAAAGAAAGTTATCGCCCCTTCGTGTTCACCCGCGAAAACATAAATTTCATTGGATAATCCGGAGTGTGTCAGTGCACAGTGTGCCCGTAACACCGGTCTGTCTGCCGATCTGTCGATTTGAATTCGATTAAGCTGCGAAGACGCAAGGCTGGGAGGGAGGGAGGTGTAAGCGTCGCTCCCACGGGAGAGGGTGGATGCGAGCGAAAAGGTACTTTCGATTAAATGGGCAGCCATCCGGCAAGAATAATCATGGCTGAATAACGGGGGCGTTTGTTATTGGACGAAATGTCAGCTCGTGCATTATTCAACGGGTGGAGACTGGTATTGGTGTTGCTAATTCGATCGTGGATCTATCTATGTATCTTCGTGGCCGAGTTATCGTTCCCAGGCGTTGTTGCTAATTAATACACCGAAGTCGGACATTATATCGGACAGGTTATTGGCGTAATTTCGGGAAAACGACGCCAGGTTGGCCGGGATAACCCGCGATCGTTGGAGACTCGTGCGAGTTTGACATATGTTGCTCAAGTATGTTCGTTGTCTACCTGTTTTAGATGTTTTATCGTCAATTTCAATGATTGAAATATCTTGTAAAGATAACGGTTCAACGTGTAGTATAGTATGTATATTATTTAATTTCGAAAATATGTTTCTCGTCATAATCGCTGGAAGGCTGAATTTCTGATAATAAATGTCTAAAAGAAAAAAAAAAAAAATGTCATATTGCATCACGAAGGGAAGACGGTTCGATCAAAGACAATTTAGAGAACGATGATACCGATGATGATATGGATGGTTATAATAGCTGTGACAAATGGATTTTTCCTCGCAATATTTCCATTTGATATTTTATTCCGAAAAAATAGAAAGAGAAAGAGAGGGGATTTTTTTTATAGTTATAGTGC